TTCATGGGTAGTTAAGCACGTTACACTGCCTCCGAAATTCTTCTGCGATTGACGTCTCGTACGTCCCCGACTCCACTCTGGCTCTCGGTCCTACAACTGCCTACAGCAGCGCTCCTTAGAAAAACAGAAGGGAAGGCAACGCAACCACACGAGAGCGTCTTGGCAGGAGCCGTTTTCCATGACTCCCACCAAGCGCCGTTCGTGGACGTCTCTGGGCATCGAAGCGCTTGGGTGAAAGCCGTTTTCCATGACTACCACCCTGCACTCCAAGCCAGACTTAAGCGCTGCTACTCATCGCCCTCCAGGCGGCACACCTTTCTGACATCTCTTTTTAATATACCTGTGGCTCCGTGGGCTACTTGCTTCCAGCGCTTAGTATACCTGGCTTCCAGCAGCGAGCCTGATCTGTGGATACTGCGAGTTAACTTGGGGACTTCGCCACTATGGAGCAGGCTGTGATGATGAGGTTGGCAACCAGCGGTATTGCAGGCTCGGCGAATGCCACAGTTTTTGGCGATATGGCCCAGTCTTAAGCAACCGAAACAGAGGTTATTGGTTTTTAACATCTCCCATCGTTGCGATATGTCCAGTTCTCTAAATATTCCACACTCCACGGCCAAGTGGTTGTCCGAACAAACGGGGCAGGAGTGGGTGGGGCGGACAGGCGACGTAGTTCTCTGACCAGTGTGATGGCTACTTATCGCCGGATGCTCTTTCCTTGGAGGAGCTCTCGTAACAGTCGTTTCGACACCACGGGGTGATCGATCGGCTAACTGTCCTAACCGGCTGCGAGCTATGCGTGCTCGCGATGAAACAAATGTGGTTAACTTCAGCAAACTGGGCTCATGACCACTAAGCGTTAGCTGATCGACGACTTTGGCCCATTTGTACTGCAGGGGCTTCGGTAGGGCACGGACTATCTCTTCTAGGGTGGTGGAGGAGTCTACATCTGCCTCATAGTTCATTTGTTTCAATGTGATGTGGCAATTCTCCATCTTAATGACCAATTCCAACAGGGCATCTGCGTTTTTGGGAATGGACTTCGCGCCTTGAAGTGGGCCTTCTATGGATGCCCTAGTAATGTAGTGTGCTTGCCCGAAGAGGTCTCGACGGAGACATTGAGCTCTTTCATAACCCTGACCGGGCGGCAGCATTACGCAGTTGCGAATAGTCATTCTAGCTCGTCCCTTACAGTAATGAATGAGGTAGAGCAGACGTCTTCCGTCATCTACCACCTTGCTCTCCACATAGAACTCAAACTGCTTGACGAACCCCCAGTAGTCAGCTGGGTGCCCATCGAAGTAAGCCATCTCTACTTTGGGGAGACCAGCTTCCGCAATAAGTGGGACGAGAGCGGACGCTATAGCGTTTCCCAACGTGGCAGTGGGGGGGGGGGTTAATCGGCAAATCGTCATAACAATCGGCGGATGGTTGATTCGCAGCCACCGCAGCACATTCCGTGACAAACTCGTCAACTCTGTTTGACGAATAAATAGGGAGTGCGGGCAGGTCTACATCGCCTTGTTCGTCTTCCAGCAAGGCTCTACGCTGGGCGAATTCGACCTGTCTAGCCTTCAACAGTCTACGCTGTTTGCTAAGTTTCTGCTCCCTAGTTTCTAGTTCTAGCTCCTCCTTGAGCTGCTTTTCTTTCAACTCAGCAAGCAGGAGCTGTGAGCGCGTACTGCTAACTGAATTTCTATAGCTAACCCGAGAGCCAGAGTGAGAGACAGCAACAAGAGGGACTTGCCTTGACTTGGATGAGTCCTTTGTCCGGGTGGATGCGCGGGTGACTGGCATTGCGTAGACGAACCAATTTGGCACTTCCGAATACGTGTACCACCAAACGGAGGGATCCAATTAAGCAATCCGTCGAAGCAAGAACCAAATTAAATACTGACAGCTTTGACCAATTGAATACTTCGCCGATAATTGAATACTGCCAGCTTCGCCCAATTGAATACTGTAACGTCCACCGTGAACGTTGAATAACGCGTAGCCAAAGATCCCGAAATCAAAACAAGACGGATCACAAATACTACGGTACTATTAAAATATATACAGTTGATAATTGGGACATACTTCAATGGTTCAGTATCCCGGTGTATGCAAGTTGACAACAAGGTGTCAGTGAACAATAGGAGGGACGAGTTGTTTACGCCGGACAATCAAGGGAGCAAATCAACACATCTGAGTGCTACAAGTATTAAGAGTAATAGCGTTGACCAATCAAGGGACGGTCCAATCACAGGGTGAGAGTTTAATGGCATGCATAAACGTGGTGTTTGGACAAGCGACCAGTGAATGGGGGAGGGGTGCGACACCTGTCCGGGCTGAGCGTGTTCTGTTCGGCGAAGAGTGGGGTTGGAGATCCAAGGTCGTCGGTAGACGCACACGCACGGAACCAGTGCCGGTGATTAGCATGCACACACACAGACACACATACAACGCTAACAATGGGAATGTAAGGAGGCGCACATGAAAGCTGGTCGATATCCATCAACGATCGGCCCAGGTCTATAGACTAGACCACGAAGCGAAGAGTAGAAGAATTTCATGGGTAGATAAGCGCGTTACATCTATCCTTTTTGATTGGCGCTGATTTACCCTTTTAATAGTAACTGTGTGCAGTTGGGTCACATTGTTTGTAGAGGATCAAGAAGCGTCGCGAAGAGGCATGTAACTTGTTGGTGAAATCCGCTTACTTTCGAACTGGTTGTTGCTGTGACCGTCAAGAATAATTTTTGCTGAAAGCTTCACCGGTTTTTGTGCAATTTTGGGAGATCTTATATGGTTCTCTATCCCGGGGCTTCGATTTGTCATCCGGTCCGTTGTTGCAATTCGTACGTCCCCGTGATGGTCTTTGTGTACTTAACAACAAGCACTGCGCTAAGGTGTACTTTGTGCGTAAGCAGTCGTCTATTTCTTATAAGCACTGGTTTCCGGAATGCTCTAAAACATTTTGGGTACTCGTAATCTTCCTTCGCCTATGAATATATATATATATATATATATATATATATATAAATCATTACATTTTACTTGTTTTGTTCTGCGTACTTGATAATCTTCTCCCAACTTGCACACGTCTTTCATGCAAATTGCGGTAAACGTGCGTAATTGTATTACGTGGTATTTTTTAAATAACTCGGACATTTTGTACGGTTTTACTGATTCACTTATAACCAATTTCTTCTATATGCTTATTTACCGAGTATATATGTCGTCCTATGCGTTTACTTTATTCGGTATCGGCATTTCGAATGATTGGCTGTTGTTTGACATCCCAGGTGTGGTTGCGCTTGATGTGCATGTTGACAAGGTGCCTACCTGTCTATTACCCACTACTTCGTCCATCTGGCTCCAGCACACAATTGATCGTTGCTGGAGGGGACGGAGTGCGCGGTCCTTGGGGTCGTGCTAGGCTCGAAGAGTGGTTCCATGCACTCAGTGTGGAGCGGACTACGGTCTAGCCACCGCCTTGTGTGCACTTGATTTCCCAACTACAGCGTGTTTGTGTTTTCCTGTAAAGGAGTGTGGGCCGGCTCCGTTGACGAAACGTGGCTCCCATCCGCATGCCTCCTGGTCTTACTCCTTCGGGTTTACACTGGATATGGGGTGTGTGGTTGGAGCTGTGGATGGTTGAGCGCAAGCCATCCATGGTCCCTCGGTAGGCGCAGGCGTCCTGTGGCTGGTCACAGTGACAGGCAAATCCGAAACCCGATGTCGCAAACCAAAAATCGCTGATAGTTGTCTGTGATGAATTACCTGTGCATTAGGCCAAAATCCCCACTATTGATTAGTAATTTCAAACTTCCTCTGTATTGCTTCTAAGTGCTGTGCGATCCACAGTCGCTATGCGGAAAGTCCTAGCTCGGGGGGCTAACTCCTGTCCACTGCACAGTTCGGAACTGGATTGGCGGCGGAAGGTGAGCCGGCTATATCATAGTCAGCTGTCAATCATGCAGGTCCTCGGCCCTCACCCATGATTAAGTGGCGCTAGCTGCTGGCATCCGGAAGTCATGGGCTTGGAACCCGGTTGGGGTCCGAGGAAGGCGCACCGCTGACCATACCCAGAAGGTCGAAACAACGCTGTCTGGAGCTTTTCCGGACGTGCCAACGCCTGCTGATTGAGAGTGGACTGTGATGAATTACCTCTAAATTAGACCAAAGTCCCCACTACTCATCACTATTCTGCGTAATTCTCAATCCAGGGATCTGCGTTCTTCACTGCACAATTATGTTTTCAAATTATTCACGCTTCTGTTAGTTTTGTATGACTACACGATGCTGCTTGTCATTTTGGTCCACTTACCCCTATCTGATAACGCACTTATTTGCGTGACAATTTGCATTTGATACGGTCGTTTAATCAATCATGCGGTCCAGCTATACTATCAATCTTCTATACCAAGCACACCCAATTGCGTTCTGGGACAGGATATCGAGCCTCAAGGAGTTTCCTGTAGGCTAAACTACTCTTTTTCTGTAGTATCATTCGTCAACGCTTAAGCGACTGACTATTCGCTTGCTCCATTTAACTACTTTCTCGTCCCTGGGCTAACGAAATAAAATCAGACCGCAACGAACTGCGTCCACTGCGACCGCTTTCACTCTGTTCTACAATGTTTTCTGTCCGTTATTGTATCTTTTCCCTGGCCAAATTTCAACTTATCAGGGGTGGTGCAAATCAAGTGGAGGTTGTATGTGCATTGCATCACCGGTTATCTCATAGCAGTGATTTCTTTCACGAAGGTCCATGACTTTGTCTTAGTCTATGGACTACTTTTATTCATTTTGCCTTCGTCGGATTCGCAGTCCCATTTGTGTCACACGCACACACCAACCGTAAGGTCATCTTCGATGACTGTGCTATGCATATTTGCCCTGGAATGTTATCACTGCATTTTTGGACTATTTGCGCTCTCGAGTTTTGCATCATTCACAATTTCCGTCGCTTTGTACGAGGAGCTTCTCCTATGGGACCCGTTGTGTTGTTACAGATAAGGCTTTCTGATGTACAAGGCACCGGTAAGGCTGGTCGGATTTTGAAAGAAGATATTTTGAATCACCTCAGCAAACAACGTCCCTGTGCACATCCCCGTCCTTCAACTTCAAAAGAGGTCCCCTCACAGCCGGGTCCTCTCTCTCCTCTTCGCCTTGCGTTGGAGGGTGAGGACAAAACTGTACCATTGAATGGTGAGTACGTTTGATTTTCTCATAGTACCCTTTTACACCGAAATCTTCGTCTTTTCTATCATTTGTTAGTTGGACGCAGAGATTGAGTATACTTATTTCTTATTGGTGTTTCATCATTCGCAGATAAGACGATATTTCTATGTGCACTGTAAACCTACTTGTGAAGAGATATCGCATGCTTTGCACGCTTGGAATCGAAACTATTACGGTATCACTGTATCGCATGTATAGCCAAATCTGAGCAAGGCCTGACCCACAAAGCCATTTGACCGTTGTCACAATAGCATCCGCTGCAATGGGGTCAAGTGACAATAACATGACCATCTCATCCATCTATCAAAATGATTGATCTTCGAGTATGTGCACGTTTTCTGTGCATGGTAGTTTCAAATCCCCAAAATGTTCCACAGTTTGATTCGTACCAAATTCACGTATGAATTCCGTCACTTTTCTCAACGGTGCGTTGGTGGACAGATATTGTACACCCATGGATCACTATCCTCTCGGTGGGGTTCATTGTTTGAACACCTTCGATTTATTCAGAGGAAATCGCAACGGGATCCATCTGGCTTGGCGCATGCGAAGAGCATCGTGTTCGCGGGTAATGGCGAACCAGATTTGTCCGGACAACACCGAGCGACGATGCGCCCGCAAACAACCATCGACTGACGGCACGGGGTATTGCTCCTGCTGCTTAAATCATTGGCCCTGACATATGTTAGGAAAATAAACGGCGTGCTTTTAAAATGCCACCGATTCGTCTTCCGAATTCTTCATAACAATTAACAAAATTTTCTTTGCCATCACACCGATTCACTTTGTTTGGCTTAATAGGCGCTATCACATTTATGGGGAGTTTTTCCCGCGGCAGTTCAAATAGCCATAACATGCATGGCCTGCGGTGGCGCTTGGCCAAGTGCTCGGACATGGTCTAGTGAATAGAGCGCGAGTTGACTGCCACTCGCACGAGCTGAATTGACTGCACTGGCCATATGAACAACCTAGACTTGAGGGGACTTAGTATGAATTACGTCCAAGGGGCTCCAGGCGGGGGCACACTTGGATTGGACCGTTCACTGTCTACGAGTGGTGCTTGCAGACCAATGCGCACAGGCAAACGATATGAGCTGCGACGACGGGAATTAGGCAGTGAACGTTAACCCATTGGAATGGTGCTTCAAATGTGCATCGTAACGAAATTGGACCTCAGCGTGATGCAGTAGTAGTAGTTGTTGTATTACTAATTGTAGTATTAGTGGTAGTAACAACAGTCTAACAAATAGACTTAGTCAAACAAAATCGATTCAATCAATGGAAGAATACAGGTTTAATCACGGCATCATTCTCATCTCATATTAGCTGAAGGTGAGCAACGCGCTTCAGCTACAGTGCCGCAATAAGAACGGAACTCTTTCATTTTTATTTTTTTCACACGCCATTTTTCACTTTTTGTCTTTTTCAATTGTTAAGCATTAGGTATCTGAATCTAAGCAAGTATATACACAGATCCTCCACTGGTTTCCATTGCGCGCCATATCCTGTATGGTTTTCAGCCATCGGCACTCATCATCCTTTGGTCCCCAACCAGGCAGACGTGTGGACCCATCGGCAGCAAGAGGCAAAGTTCACGATTTCATGTGCTGTCGCCAAGTGGACGATTGACCGCCACGTGGTCCTTCCAGCCAAGACATGCACGAGCGAAAAGGGCGCAAAAGGGTAAACTCTCAGCTGACATACACTGAACGTGACAGAGCAGTCTTAACTGATGCGGCAAAACTAGCGTCTAGAAAGGAATACTCGTCTTCTCTAACACGCGACATCTGGCTTCACTGCTGCGGATACGTTGCTGCTACCCCACACCAGCCATTCTCCTCAAGTACCCGTTGTCGAAGGCCAAGCGCCGGCGCATGTCATCCATGCGAATCAACCACGACTCACTTCCATGTAGCAATACCACCCGAACAGTGGCACTGTAAACACGACCCTTTACCAAGAGGGAGACATCCCGATGACGTTCCAAATGTTTCAGGTTGAAAAACTCCGGTCGAGCTTTGGCGATGTGGAGGGAAACTTGTTTCTCAATAGTGCCACCAGCAGCCACAGCTGCCCAGGTAGACAAAGCTATCCACTTGTTCAAGCTGTGTACCTTCAAAAGTGAGCATGGGAATGAGGGAATGCCAATCCTGGAGCGGTACTTTCTACTTCGTCGAAGCGAAACATTCCGTGCTTAGATATCTCAATCACCAAATGGTTTGCATGGTTTGCGTGCTCTCTGAGTCGTCACCAAGTAAGGCGATATCATCGGCATAATCTAAATCGGTCACTCGCTTATCCGGTAGTAGCTGTAGACCGACATTTAGGTAACTGTCTAGAGCTTTCGACAGAATGCCTTCAATCGCTAAATTGAAGAGGAAAGCAGACATAGGGCAGCTTTGTTGTACACCGCTGTTGACAGCGAAGGACGACGAAAGCCTGCTATATACCCTCACTCTGCCCGAGATGTGGAAATACAGTGCGCGTAGGATGACAGCGTATTTTCCTGGGACACCGTTCCTTAGCAAACAACAGCATAGCGTAGGTCGATCATCCGAGTCGAATGCGGAACGGATGTCCAGGAATGCAGCGATGGTAGGTCTCTAGTAACGGTGACGGTGTTCCAGGATTTGACGGTGTGTGAATATCTGATCCACACGCCCACGGCCAGGATGGAAGCCAGCATGTTCTTCCCAGTACTGCGATTCACCAATGGGGTTAGTCTACGGAGTAGAATGGCTGCCAATAGCTTGGAGGCAATCGAAATGAGACTAAACTTCCGGTGATTGGTATACGAAGTGCGAGCATCCTTAAAAACCGGGACGATAACTGACTCGTCCCTTAAGAAGGAACCTTTTCTTCATGCCAGATTTTGGCGACCAACGAGGTCAGTTGGCTGATGATAACTGCGCCTTCATATTTGAATAGCTCCAGAGGAAGTCCGTCTTAGCCGGAAGCCTCGAATCGTAAGACAAACTTTCGCTTCGATGTGTGAATCGAGTGTGACGACCCAGGGCGGGCAGTTGGGTTCGCAGAGAATAAAGGTGGACGGGGAGGGCCAATTGAACTGGGAATGAAACTTTTCAGCCCATGGATCCAAACGTCTCTGTAGGTTGTTAATCGACGAACCATCAGCTTGGCAAATAGTCTCACTATCACCAAGCTTTCTGAAGCCAGTGGATCTAATGAGCTGGAAGTGCTTGCGAGTATTGCCAGAGAGAGCAGTGGCCTCCATTTCCGAAGACACTGAGACAATCATGCTTCACAGTCACTGCATAGACTTTGTTTGAGCTGCCGACTGACTTAACGGCCCACTTCATCACAATTAGACTCCGCTGGGATATTCCTGCGGCGTTCAAATAGATCCAAGGGAAGCGTAGAGATCTAGGCGTGCCGTGTAAGGCCGTAGGCTTAACTGCTTGGAAAATATAATGGCCCTCTGCAATAACGTTCAGTGTTTTGTCTTGCGGAGGGTCACAGGCAAGCGCATCGGCCAGGTAAGCTTGATAGTTCTACTGAACCGAGAGCGGATATAGTTTGTGTCCATCTTACAGTGTTTCATTTTCGGTGACTATATGAACTTCATGCAAATGTTCGCACAGACAAGACCATGGTCTGAGTCAAGAAATGTAGGCCACATTGATCTGTAATCTTCTAAACTACCCCGTTCTGAAACTGCAATATGATCAATCTGCGACCATGGTTGCGACGTAGAATGGGTCACCAAGTAACAGAACGTCTCCTCTAATGTTGAAGGCTGGTACTGTAAAAAAACAAATGATTATCTTCTCACAATGTGAGATGTCTCTCACAATTGTCTGAGCGGCTCATCGAGCGCATGACAACCACCGAGGTGCCTTTCGTATGATAATAGACGACGGACCCGTGCGTTGTGATCTCCAGGAAGGACAACAATGTCCGATTTGCAGCCTCTGCTCAAGAGCTGATGAGGTTCACGGTCGAAATCGTCCTTAACTGTCGGAACTGCAGTCAGTTGGAGATGAGATCACAAACAACTTGTGTCTCTACTCACGGCATCTGTTTATCTTGCATGCTCCCCGAAGCCGAACTGCACACGGTCGGCCATTAATCGGAAACCAGCCCATCAGTGCGGCCTCGGCTTTGCTACTTAGCGCTGCACCAATGACAGCCAAGCCTGCGGCAACTGCTTCTTTGTCACCAGATAGATTTAGGTGAAATATGTTTCCGTGTTCGGTAGGGGATCTCAACTTAATCACAGTACTGGGATCTTGTAAGCGCGTTTCCGAAAGGCAATAAATACCGGTGGCGTGGTATTCTAAGGTGCGCGCATGAGCAGCTTGCTGCCCGATCTGTATGAGTGTACATACATTGAAGCATGCTAGACGAAACAATGGCCGAGGCCGAAGGAGTGTGACTGGGCGAGCTCTTTGGGTGTCGACGAAATCATCGGGAGTAAAATCATGGAAACAGGAATCACCTGTTAACGGGTAACAGTTATTGGTAACAGGTAGCGTGTGAAGGTGTGTGACTAGCAGGAGCAAAATCAGCTGAGAGCGACATTGCAAATGAACAGTCCGTGGTGTTGTCAGTGGGCGTGATACTATCCGATTGCCTAAGTACGTAGTTGCCTTAGGGATTCAACCCGTAGCCTTTGGTTATATAGCCTGCGCGCAACGCAGCGAGGCGGTTGTGAGACTTAGTCTGACCCCTGACCATTGACCTGTCTGGTATGAGTGGCTCTGAATGAACTTGGAAATGCCATCCAGCGTAGCTCAATAGATCACAGGGGTACACAAACCATCGCACCACGTTAAGGTCCAGTCTCGTGGCGCTGGTTAGCATGGTGTGATAGTTTACGTACCCCCATGACCCATTGAGCTACGCTGAGTGGCATTTTCCAAGTGCCTTCAGACCCACTCATTCCAGACAGGTCAATGGTTTGAAGTCGGACTAAGTCCGTCTCACGATTCTCTTCGGAGATTAGG